TCACCATCCTTGTCCAGAGCCTTGGTGAACTGCTTGATTAAGCCGAGCTTGATGTGCAGTGGTGGGAAGAGTATTCTGTCTCTGTCCACCAGAGGGTCGTTAATGAAGTTCCTTTTTCTGCAAGGCACCAATTCCTCCTGTACAGGCCAGTCCTTCTTCGTGTAATGCTGAGCACGGTCCCTACTATCCCACATGCACAGAAAACATGGGTACTTGGTGAAGCCAGACTGTTGTCCCAACAAAAAGTTCACCATCTTCAGGTCAACACAAATAAACTACTTATGCTGATCATAACCAATTTTCTCCAGCACATACTTCACCGCTTCATAGTTCTCCTTCAGTGTACTCAAGTGAGCCAGGGGTATAGAGGCAAACTAGTTGCCGTTGTGTAGCAGAACACATTTCAGTGATCGCTTGCTGCTGTCAATGAACAGTCTCCAATCTTTGGTTTCGTACTGTGGCACTCCAAGCTTGAGCAGAAGCTGCGCAATATCTGCACAGTACACCAAGTCCTTCTCTTCCGAGAAAATACAGAGGTACTCTTGATGCCTGTTGCGAAGAAGCTGATGCGAGCACTGTCAGAGAGGAGGTTTTTTTCCTTCAATCTGGATGCCAACAGTTTGGCAGAGTCCTTTGACAAGCTGAGGTCGCGAACTAGATCATTCAACTCCTTTTGGAAAAATGGATGTGGAGCATCATCTTCAAGAACCACTTCTTCTTATTCATGTCCTTCAACACTGGAGGCATCTTCGTCACTAATGTCAGTGTTACAGGAAAAATCTGAGGGCTCCCTTGGACAAAAATAAAACACCAACCAGAGCAAATTGAAGCAAATCAGCAGCCTGTAGGCTTGGCCTTTATTGAACTGATGAATCAGGGTGTTCCCCTCACTTGCAGGAGAGAGGAAAGACCCAGAAAAATAGTGTGCAAAGTCTTATAAAAACTTTTGAAATTCCCCTCCTCTAGGTCAAGCCCACCCCCCAGAAACATCATGCATATATTACAGAAAGGAGGGGTTGAGGGAGGAGTTGGTGGTAACCTGAGTATCTTGTCACCTGGCTGGTTCCTCCTTTCCCCCCTCCCCATGAGTCACTTCCAGGAGACAAAGGGGAGTTTGCAGTTTCCTGCCCCCTGAGGGAAGATCTGATCATTGTCCTTTGTTTCAGTCCATGCTGAATCCACTCCCATATGCAAGTTCTTTGTGATCTTGATTGCCTTCTGTCTGGGATCATCTGGGCAGGGCTCCTGCAGATGTGCTGAGACAGCGAAGGGATTTTGGCTGACAAGGGTCAAACCCCCCTCCCCTTTTGTTAGTTCTTGTCATATGGAGTAAAATAAAAATGGAACAGTGCAAATCCAATGTATGGTTGATTTTCTATGAATTTATATCAGAAATGTGGCGTATGTAGTGTGTGAGTGTGTGTGTGAAGTTTGTACAAACAGAATGATTGGGGTGGGGGGGTTCCTGCTACATCAGGAAGTTCTCTGAAGATAGGCACTGGAATTTCATCACAATGAGCTAAAGGACGACGTGCTGATTGAAGATCAGGATACTTCGTGGGGCGGCTGCCCCATTAACTTAGTTTTGATCCCCCAACTTTATGCTTTGCTGGACCAATTTATGGAAGATTTTGAGGTTTTATGACTTCAAACTGATCCCTTTTCGACATAATCACCCAGAACTATCAGACCTGAATACTTCTTGTCATTAAAATAATCATTTCCAACTAAAACAATTATTTGACAAGGCATTTTACCCCCACCAACTTCTTCTAAAATGCTCCACACAAGCGTAAGTAAAGGTAAAGGTAAAGGTACCCCTGCCCGTACGGGCCACTCTTGCCAGACTCTGGGGTTGTGCGCCCATCTCACTCAAGAGGCCGGGGGCCAGCGCTGTCCGAAGACACTTCTGGGTCACGTGGCCAGCGTGACATCACTGCTCTGGCGAGCCAGAGCCGCACACGGAAACGCCATTTACCTTCCCACTAGAAAGCGGTCCCTATTTATCTACTTGCACCCGGGGGTGCTTTCGAACTGCTAGGTTGGCAGGCGCTGGGACCGAGCAATGAGAGCGCACCCCGCCGCGGGGATTCGAACCGCCGACCTTTCGATCGGCAAGCCCTAGGCGCTGAGGCTTTTACCCACAGCGCCACCCGCGTCCCTCCACACAAGCGTACATGTGAACAAAAACGTAAAAAAAAGACATGTGGCCATAGCTCAAAAACTTGACCTGATTGAGCAAAACCAATGTGATTTTTGGATTCAGTGCATCAGATTCATCCTAAATCAGCTGAAAAAACGCAGACAACAAATTTGTTGTTGACCAGTGTTATTTGTTGAATTTATATACCTACCTACAATCATCATCTCTTGCCACCCTCTCCTTACTTCCCTCCAGCTTCATTTGCCCCCTGTTCCTACCACACCTTTCTTAGGCTGCTCGTCCCCCCCCCCTGTTCATTTTGCCTTGGGTCACTCTTATTTGCAGCGGTGGCTTCCAACAAAGATTAAAAATACATTAAAATGTCACACTTTAAAAATTTCCCTAAACAGCTGCCTTCAGATGTCTTCTAAATGTCAGGTATTTGTTTATTTCTTTGACATCTGGTGGGAGGGCGTTCCATAGGACGGGCGCCACTACCGAGAAGGCCCTCTGCCTGGTTCCCTGTAGCTTTGCTTCTCACAGGGAGGGAACAGCCAGAAGGTCCTCAGAGCTGGACCTCAGTATCCGGGCTGGACGATGGGGGTGGAGACGCTCCTTTAGGTATACTGGGCCGAGGCTGTTTAGGGCTTTAAAGGTCAGCACCAATACTTTGAATTGCGCTCGGACACGTACTGGGAGCCAATGAAGGTCTTTCAGAACTGGTGTTATATGGTCTCGGCGGCCGCTCCCAGTCACCAGTCTAGCTGCCGCATTCTGGATTAGTTGTAGTTTCTGGGTCCCCTTCAAAGGTAGCCCCACATAGAGCGCATTTCAGTAGTCCACGCAGGAGATAACTAGAGCATGCACCACTCTGGCGAGACAGTCTGCGGGCAGATAGGGTCTCATCCTACGTATCAGATGGAGCTGGTGGGCAGCTGCCTTGGACACAGAATTAACCTGTGCCTCCATGGACAGCTGTGAGTCCAAAATGACTCCCAGGCTGCACACCTGGTCCTTCAGGGGCACAGTTACCCCATTCAGGACCAGGGAGTCCTCCACACCAGCCCACCCCCTGTCCCCCAAGAACAGTACTTCTGTCTTGTCAGGATTCAACCTCAATCCATTAGCTGCCATCCATCCTCCAACTGCCTCCAGGCACAAAGACAGGACCTTCACTGCCTTCACTGGTTCCGATTTAAAAGAGAGTAGAGCTGGGTATCATCCGCATATTGATGAACACCCAGCCCAAACCCCCTGATGATCTCTCCCAGCAGCTTCATTTAGATGTTAAAAAGCATGGGGGAGAGGACAGAACCCTGAGGCACCCCACAAGTGAGGGCCCAGGGGTCTGAACACTCATCCTCCAACACTACTTTGTGGACACTGCCCAGGAGGAAGGAGTGAAACCACTGTATAACAGTACTCCCAGCTCCTCTAGACGGTCCAGAAGGATGTTATGATCGATTGCATAAAAAGCCGCTGAGAGATCCAGCAGAACTAGGAAACAGCTTTCACCTTTGTCCCTAGCCCGCCAGAGATCATCAAACAGCGCGACCAAGGCAGTTTCAGTCCCATGATGAGGCCTGAATCCCGGATGGAAGGGATCCAAATGGTCCGCATCCTCCAGGCGTGCCTGGAGTTGTTCAGCAACCACCCGCTCAGTCACTATGTCCAAGAATGGACATTTGAGACTGGGCAATAATTGCCCATATTGGCCGGGTCTGAGGATGTTTTTTAAAGAGGCGGTTTAATGACCACCTCTTTCAGAGGGTCTGGGAGGGCTTCCCCACAGAGGGAAGCATTCACCATCCCGCAGAGCCCATTGCCCAGTCTTTTCCGGCTTGCTTTTATTAGCCAGGAAGGGCAAGGATCCAGGAGACAGGTGGTTGGTTTCACGAGTTCAAGCAGCCTGTCCACATCCTCGGAGGTAACAGATTGGAATTGATTCCATGCAACTCGACCGGGCTCTAGCACTCTCCCGCCCCGGCCCTGATCCCACAGTGGTGTTTTACATCTCCATTATGTTCAAAATTCACCATTAAACTACAAGCCAGTATTTCCAATGCAGATTTTATTGCCATTCTGTTATATTTCCTCTGTGCTTTCGTCGTCCTGGTCTTGTGACTCCGGCCCTAAATTGCAAGGCAAAACCATGGGAGATGGAGTGTGGAGTCTGCCAGCCTCGAGTCCCTGATTAGATGATGAAATAAATAAATTAAGGTCTTATATAGATAATAATGGTTCATAAATGTACCAAGCAAACACATACATAGATCTATAGGCCACATGTCTGAAGCTGCACAGGAGAGCAGCCATGGAGCCATTTTGACTCCCTGGCTGACCAGGTGTTTTCTCTGCAAGGTCAAATGTCTCCCCATTGTCTTTTCCTTCACAAATCCTGTCTTAAGGGTATGTCTGTGTAATGGGGTGAGCCTGTGACTTGGCTCCGGAACTAAGTACTTATCATTACAAAAGATTGGCCAGGCTCCCCAGGGTACCAATCCAGTAAACATTAACAGGTAACTTGTCAGACAGGAGGTAAACAACCCACTCAACCCTTTCTGTGATGTAGGTATGATGTGTCTGGGGGGTGGTCTTGGACTCCAAGGTGGGCAATTTAAAATGTCTCTATAAGGGCGGACACACCTTTGTTCTGGGTTCCTCCTCTTCTCCTGCAGGTGAGGGGAGCACCCTGTTGCAACAGTTCAATAAAGATCAGGCTTACTAGCTGCTTTGCTTCTCAATATTCTCTGGTTGGCCTCTTGTTATTTTCTCCCACCAATAGGGAACCCACTTAAGGACTCTATAAGGGCTCTTGTGTCCCCCATAAGGGAATAAGGGCAGATTTTTCGTTTATTACATGACATCCTCATCTCCATAGATGACTCCATCGTCCTTAGAGCAGGATGCTGGGCAACCCTTGAGTACTATTGGTCATTTGTCACAGATGCCAACTCTCCTGAGCCAGGGAAAGGCTTGGGATGAGGTGTGTATGGTCCACGCTCGCCACTAACCCTTACCCATTTGCAATGGTTTTGTTTTACTGGACCGGAGCCTCGGGCCACGCCGCTCTTGCCTTTGCAAAGTTGGGTTCGAGATGCGCGTTGGCTCCCTAGAGGCGCGTCATCTGATGCAAATACGCCCTGGCGGGGATTCCCCTCCCGACAAGAGGAATTGATGGCGGTGGGCGGGTCCTTTCTCGGAATGGAGAGCCTGGACTAGGATCGCTTTCGTTTTCTCCCTGCTGCCTAGCGGTGGAGCGGGGCGGAGACCAGACTTGCTCTCGGAGGCGCCGCGCGGCTCCTGCGCTCCTTCCAGACCAGGTAAGACTCGGAGGGGATGAGGGGGGAGAAGAGCATCCAGGAGAGTGGATCTTTCTTTTTACAGATAACATTTGTATTTAAGCATAATCAATTTTATACATCATGGGATTCCCTGAATCCCCGGGCTTCTCCCGCCTCCCCATGGCTTCCAATATATATCTTTTTTCTTACTACTGCATCTAATTATATTTATCCACTTTTGTTTATATCCACTTTTAACCCTACAAAATCACAAGTCCTGCCAACGTCTTTAAGTGTTTGTCGTGATCTTTAAGGTATTCTATAGACTTTTTCCATTCCTTAAATTTCTTATCATCTTGGTATCTGATTTTCCTGGTAAATTTTGCCATTTTGGCATAGTCACCATCTTGATTATCCATTCTTCTTTGGTTGGAGTTTTCTCTTATTTCCACCCCTGGGCGAAAAGCATCCTCGCAGCTGTCACATACATAAAGAGTCTTTTCAGGTCCTTTGGCATTTCTTCAAAGGGTGGATCTTTACAATGGGGCAGGATCTGGGAAGGGCAGCCGACAGGAGTCCATTTGCACTTGGGCTCTCAGATAGAACTCTGCACATGCTCAAAGTGTCCCTCTTCACAAAGAGGCAGGTTCTGTGGAACGGCACCCCTGTAAGGTAGACTAGTATGAGTGAAGATCGAACACACACACCACCCTTCAAAAAAAATGTATTGGCCCTGACAGGGGTGCCAACTTGAATAAAATGTGGGGGGAGGGGCAGGTAAGCCCCGCCTTGCATAATCAATCACATGATGCAATGCCTTAAGGACCGCCTCTTTCCATATGGACCTACCTGGACCCTGAGATCATCTTCTGAGGCCTCCTCCTCGAGAGGTCCGGAGGGTGGCAACACTAGAACGGGGCCTTCTCTGCAGTGGCTCCCCATCTGTGGAATGCGCTCCCCAGTGAAGTTCCCCTGGCGCCTTCATTATATACCTTTAGGCGCCAGCCAAAAGGTTCCTTTTTAACAAGGCCTTTGGTTGACCTGATCAACATCCCATACCCTTTAAAATGTGGCTCTTTTAAAGGAGGTATTGTTGGGCTCTTGCTTTTATTTTTAATTTATATACTGTGATCTTCTTATACGAACTGCCCTGAGACCTCTGGGAATAAGGCAGTGTGAAACTTGAAAAATTAAAATATCATGGAAAATTTCATTTATTTCAGTAATTCAACTTAAAAGGTGAAATGCTAAACCAGATGGATCAATAGGGGTCTGACTAGGTATAAAGCAGCTGAACTGAAGCACTTAACGCTGCAACATTTTGTTGCAGTACCCCCGCTTTTCTTTGCCTATGCCCCACTTGCAGATCTAGTACAGTGGTACCTCGGGTTAAGTACTTAATTCGTTCTGGAGGTCCATACTTAACCTGAAACTTAACCTGAAGCACAACTTTAGCTAATGGGGCCTCCTGCTGCCGCCACGCCACCAAAGCACGATTTCTGTTCTCATCCTGAAGCAAAGTACTTAACCTGAAGCATTATTTCTGGGTTAGCGGAGTCTGTAAGCTGAAGCGTATGTAACCTGAGGTACCACTGTATGTTGGCTCCTTCCCCTTGCTCCCCTCTTTCATGGTTCATCTCTGCAGGCGGCTGAGACCTCATTGAAGGGAAGATGGCAGCGAACATGGAAAATTTGCCCGAACACCTTCTATTGGATATCTTGTCTCTGGTTCCAGCAAGCGACCTCATTTGCAATTGCCGGCTGGTCTGCTCTCAGTGGCGGGATTTGGTAGACCTGCCGGTTCTGTGGAAGCGCAAGTTCCAGAAAAGGGATCACGACTCTTCTCCAAAGCCATTGTCTTTCTACATTTTCTCCCGCCTAAAGAAGAACTTAATCAAGAATCCTGATGGCCAAGGTATGTCCCCATTTATTTGGTAGAATAAAATGCTCCTGGACAGAAATATGAATAATAAAGCCTTTAGGAACATAGGAAGCTGCTGTATACTGAGTCCCAATATTGGTTCATCTAGCACCGTCATATCTACACTAGGGCTGGGCAATATATCATCCAAGACCGGTTTGAAGTTCACCTGATGATATTTTTTTCATAATATTTGAGCTGGTTTTCAACATCGGGATAACTCACCAGCTAAACACTGCAATGTTATCAGCAGCTAAACCTGACAATATCACCAGCTAAACATTGCAATCTACCACAATGTCTGAAATGAGGATGGAACTATACAGAGGCGAACAGGACAATGTCCTGGCAACTGCTACTACGTAGGGGTCTGAAACAGATAAATGACAATATTATCAATTATCACACATTCTGTTTCACCTGCAGGCAAGCCAAAATGCATCCCAGCAGGACTACATCCCAGCGTGGTGTAGTGGTTAAGAATGGTGGACTTGTAATCTGGGGAACCGGCTTCGCTTCCCTGCTCCTCCACCTGCAGCTGCTGGGTGACCTTGGGTCAGCCACACTTCTCTGAAGTCTCTCAGCCTCACTCACCTCACAGAGTGTTTGTTGTGGAGGAGGAAGGGAAAGGAGAATGTGAGCCGCTTTGAGACTCCTTCGGGTGGTGATAAAGCGGGATATGAAATCCAAACTCTTCTTCTTCTTCTTTTTTGGCTTTGGGCTTGACTACCAAATGGTGGTATTCAGGACACTCCAAAGTGCGATGGTGAGTCATAGTAAATACAAATAACCTTGGACTGCCAGGCCGCCAGCAGACCTGCTAGGAGACAGAAGAAGCAGCAGTGGCAGAAACACCTTGCCATGACTGCGGTATCTGTCTGTCTGTCTATCTATCTACACACACACACACACACACACACACACACACACTCACACACTGTACCATATGTATATAAATAATTGCATATTCTAAATAGCCAAGCACCGTGTCTTTTCCAGGTGTAAGAACCGAGAGGTTGCGGAACTACAGCTCCCATCCACCCCAGCAATCGAGAAATGACCCAGGATGATGGAAATGGTAGTTTAGCAACATCTGGGGGGCCAAAGTTTCCCTACATCTGCTCCTCAGAGTAGACCTGTTGGAATTAATGGACTCAAAGTAATAATGTCAGTTAACTTCAGGGTGTCTACTACTTAATCATGCAAACCAAGGGTGATAATTTAACTCCGGTCATTTCTGGGCTGCCTGTTTTTTGCCTCTTTATCCTGATTATTTGCCCCACATTTAAGGATACTGGCTATTTATCGAGAAAATTCATTTGTGGGGAGATTTTATGGCATTGCATCAAGAAGTTTGATTTTGTTGTGATGCGGGTTGCTTGCACACCATCGCCAAACCAGCCTAAATCTGAGACCCTGAACTTGCCATTATGCAGTTGGGTCCCTCTTGGAAAGAGTGACAGTCTGAAAGTGGCCTAAGTCATTCTTGTTTTCTTTCTAACCCACGGGCTGCTTCCATGCACTCAAAGCCTCTCCCTTCATTTTCTTTCTCCCCGTCACACACGCTGCGTCAGATGGCCTGGACTCCTGGGAAATCCAGACGCCTGCTGAGGGCCACTGGGAAACTGAGGAACTGTCCATAGAAGACTCAAAAAGCGTCGGTGAGATGCTCAGCCCTTATAAAATGGGTGATTTTTGGGAGAATGATGAGGATGCTCCTGTTCAGCTCTACAAATGCTTTCTTGCACTTAACAGGTGAGGAACCTATCATTGTCCAAACTCAAATCCACTTAAAGATGAGGAAAGGGAGTTTTCATATGCCCCCCTCTCAATAAATATAACCCATTAAAATGCAATGGTTACTAAAGGGTTTAGCAAATTCATCACCAAATCCTATCAAAGGAGCTGTTCTTTTTCTCTTTTCTTTTTGTATGGACTAAAGAAGTGTGTGTTGAGGGGAGTGGGGAGAGCCAAATGCTGTGGGTAAAAGGTCAAGGTCAAGGACCCTCGGATGGTTAAGTCCAGTCGCGAACGACTCTGGGGTTGCTGCGCTCCTCTCGCTTTCAGGTTGAGGGAGCCGGCGTTTGTCCACAGCTTTCTGGGTCATGTGGCCAGCAGGACTAGACTGCTTCTGGCGCAACAAAAAATCGTGACCGAAGCCAGAGCGCACGGAAACACAGTTTACCTTCCCGCCGCAGTGGTACCTATTTATCTACTTGCACTGGCGTGCTTTCGAACTGCTAGGTTGGCAGGAGCTGGGAGAGAGCAATGGGAGCTCACTCCTTTGTGGGGATTCGAACTGCCGACCTTCTAATGGGCAAACCCAAGAGGCTCAGTGGTTTAGACCACAGTGCCACCCACATCCCCCAATACTGTGGGGTAGTGATGGTGTTCCTTAATGTCTCAGGCCCTGCAGCAAGTCTCAGCTCATCACCTTGAAGGACGAGGGCTACTGGGATGAACTAATGGATGAAGCCAGACCCACGATTGAGGTGAAGGACTGGTGAGTGAGTGCTGGGGCGCAGGGAGGGTGGACACCCTAAACCAAGTTCTCGGCATGTGTGAGATCCCAAGGATAGAGGTGGTCAGTGAGTTGGAGGCAGAGGGGAGGGTCTGCTTGGACCTAGGCTTCAGCCCCAGGGGCAGTTGTCTAGAGGAATGAAGGCTGCCATTGGCCATCACTTCCATGGCCACACAGAGAGGGCAGTGGTTTCCAAGGGTTTCAGTCTTAGCTGGAGATGCCAAGGATTGAACAAGAGACCTTCTGTATGCAAAGCAGATGCTCCAACCACTGATCTACTGCCCATTAGGGATTGTCTCCGCTTATTTAGAGTGGCACCCAGTCCAAATTAGTTAGCAGATGTGTTCATCAGGAAGGCACTGGGACCCATCTTTTAGTTTTATTTTGAATGTTAACGAGACACTTCCTAATATTGAGTCTCTTCACTTCCCTGACCAAAGATACCCAGAAATATAAAAATGCCGGTACCAAGATCCAGTCCTTTTTTCCTGGGGGGCGCAGGGGTACACATATCCCTAAGGTAAACTATTGGATACCAAACCAAGAAACACCAGGACTGGTTTGATGAGAATGACAGTGAGATTGAACGCATGATTGACAAGAAAAGGAAGGCCATTCAGATCTGGCAAAGAGATAGAAACTGTGCCACTAAGAATAAACCTATTCCAACGCTAAGGCTGAGGTTCAAAGAAGAACCAGAGAACTAAAAACCACGTGGTGGATAAAAAAAGCTCAAGAGATCCAATACTTAGCTGACACTCATGATGCACAGAGTTTCTTTAAAGCCACAAAGAACATCTATGGGCCTATGCCCCCTATGCTCAGCAGACGGTACCACACTTCTAAAAGATAAAGAAGCCATTGCACTGCGCTGGAAAGAACGTTACCAACATCTCCTTAACCGCAACTCCCCTGTAGCGGCTGAGGTCCTCTCACAAATTCCACAAAAACAAGTTAGAGATGAGCTTGCAGTATCTCCAAATCTGGGAGAGTTGTGTACAGCTATTAACCAAATGAAAAACAACAAAGCCAGTGGACCTGATGGGATACCTGCCGAAATCTTCAAAGTGGGTGGAATTGAACTTACACAACTTCACAAGCTCATTGAAAAAAATCTTCTGTATGCTGATGACAACGTAGTGTGTGCACACTCAGGATGACCTCAAAACCATGCTAAATATCTTTGCAGAAGACCATGCCCCGATGCCGGGCGGCAGGCGGGAACGCCTCCCCCCACCGCCCGGCATCGGGACCATGCCCCGATGCCGGGCGGCGGGGACGGGGCGGGGCATGGTCACCACCGCTGGCGTTTAAAAGCACTCTGGGGAAAGCAGCGAAGCTTCAAAAGAGCTGCGGGAAGTCCGGAGGGGGTCCAAGGGATTCCCTCACCGCCGCCCATCTTTAGAAGCGCTCGGGGAAAGCAGCGCGCTTCGCTGCTTTCCCCAGAGTCCTTTTAAACGCAGGCGGCAGTGAGGGAATCCCTTGGACCCCCTCCGGACTTCCCGCAGCTCTTTTGAAGTCTGGTGGGGGGAGAAGGGCTTTTCTTCCTACCGCCAGCCTTCAGAACAGCCTTCTGAAGGCTGGCGGTGGGAAGAAAAGCCGTTCTCCCCCCGCCTGCCTACAGAAGAGGTTCGAGGAAAGAGGCGAAGGAGCGCTGCCCCTTCACCTCTGTCCCCGGAGCTTGCCGTTCCCCCCCGGCCTGCCTTCAGAAGAGGTCCGGGGACAGACTGTCCCCGGACCTGGTCTGAAGGTGGTTTCCATAGGAACGCATTAATTGATTTTCAATGCATTCCTATGGGAAACCGTGCTTCGCAAGACGAAAAACTCGCAAGAAGAAAAAACTCGTGGAACGAATTAATTTCGTCTTGCGAGGCACCACTGTATTGTGAAACATAGACCACTTATAAACGCCATCTCCAACTCCTCGAAAGATTCCATCAACGGTGTCTCTGAAAAATTTTACACATCACTTGGGAAGACAGGTGAACTAATATCAGTGTACTGGAAGAAGCAAATATCACCACTGTTGAAGCAATGATTCTTAAACATCAGCTTTGTTGGACTGGTCATGTTGTGCGGATGCCTGATTATCGTCTTCCAAAGCAACTACTCTATTCCGAACTTAAAAATGGAAAGTGTAATGCTGGTGGTCAACAAAAGAGGTTTAAAGACTGTCTCAAGGCAAATCTTAAAAAATGTAGTATAAACACTGACAACCGGGAAACACTGGCCTGCGAGCGCTCCAGTTGGAGAACAGCCTTTAAAAAAAGGTGTCATGGGCTTTGAATACACTCGAACTCAGGACGCAAGGGAGAAACATGCTAAGAGGAAGGCATGCTTGGCAAACCCTCACCGTGATCAACTCCTGCCGGGAAACCTCTGTCCCCACTGTGGAAGTATGTGTGGATCCAGAATTGGCCTCCACAGTCATTTATGGACTCATTGTTAAAACCGTGTTAATGGAAGACAATCTTACTTGGCTACGAGTGATTGCCAAAGAAGAAGAAGAAGATAGAAGAAGATACCCCTAAACATGTGAATCTAACGGGAGAAGAAACTTAAAAAAATGTAGCTTCTTCTCTAGCACGGTGAATAGTCAGCTGTGTAATATGAAGTACAGTGGTACCTCGGGTTAAGTACTTAATTCGTTCCAGAGGTCCATACTTAACCCGAAACTGTTCTTAACCTGAAGCACCACTTTACCTAACGGGGCCTCCTGCTGCCGCCATGCCGCCGGAGCACGATTTCTGTTCTCATCCTGAAGCAAAGTTCTTAACCCGAGGTACTATTTCTGGGTTAGCGGAGTCTGTAACCTGAACATAGCTGTCAACTTACAGATTTGAAAATAAGGGACCTGCAGCCTCGCCTGATCCAGGCACTCCAGTCTTCCTGTCCTCCTGCAGTCTAGTCAAACTCATGCTGGTGGCTTTGAGAACACTGTCCAACCAACTTTGTAACCAGAGGTTCAACTGAATAGAATCTGAATCACATGCACCACAAGGCCTATGCAGCCTCAACTTAAGGTGGCTCCCCGGCCTGGCTTTGCACTGCAAAGTTTGAAGCAGCATGTGCAGCAAAATGGCATCCAGCATTCAAGAACCTCCTCAGCTTGCATTAACTAGCCACACAAAGGCATACAAGCTACACCCCCCCAGTCGTTCTTAGACTTCTTATTGGGGGAGCAACACAGCCAAGCAACACAGTTGGAGCCTCCCTCCTCCCTGGCTGGCAGGGAGGGAAGGAGAGGAGCTGCTTCCTTTGAAATTTAAGGGACATTTAAGGGACATCCATCAATAAGGGACAGCAGCGGGACAGGGCGCTGGAATAAGGGACACTTGACAGCTATGAACCTGAAGCGTATGTAACTTGAAGCGTATGTAACCCGAGGTATCATGTAATACATGTTCTTTGTACTTTTGTCCATTTACTGTATTTATTTCCCTGATTTGAACTATAACATGGTGATTTTATTGAGTCAAAATGAGAGTACTCCTAAACATTTTTTAGGAAAAAAGCACTGCCAAGATCTCTCTCAATCACCATGTTGTAGTGGAAGAAAAGTGGTGGTTGACGTGCCCAGCTGGACCTCAATTTGTCCCAGGCTCATATAATTTCTCTCTCTTCCTTCTCCCCCCATCAAAAACAGCTTTTCAAGTGGGTATGATTCATGCTATAAACTGATCGTGAAGCTGTTGTCTGCAGACTCTGAAGTCCTTAAAGAACATCAATACAAAGAACCTTGGGTGTCAACGTGGTTTCCGGTGAGCTGAGCCTGAGTAGAAAATGCAAGCTTTGTTAAACTAGTGGAGGGTGGTCTATGAGGGTGAAAGGGGTCCCACCAACCTCCGTCTGCTACTATGTGCAGGCCTTCTTGTGTAAATACTTCATAAAAGATATATACCACTAGATTGTAGAAAACCTCAAAGTGTCTTACTGACAAGCAGCTCATCTGGTTGACTACCTGCGAGCTTCCTCCTCTTGTTTAACATCCGGCAAGAGGAGAATGGGGACAAAACTAAGAGGAGAATGGGGACAAAAGTAGTCTGCCTCTGCCTCTCCTTGGCTCTGACTCCCCCTACTGTTGGCTTCCCCTCTTCCGCCCCTCCAGGGGGAGAGGTTGCATCCTGGAACTTCTCCCCCAGACCCAGCAGCCTCCTCCCTTTCTCTCTCCTCTCCAGGTTTCACATACTATTTACGACTGCCCTCAAGGTGTCCGTCATATCCTCTTTGAACACGAAGTGCACACGGAACCCCATTTTCCCGGTCTCCTTAAGTACCTCTACCCAGAGCAAGGCCCAAGTGAAGACGGGGAGCCATCCTGGGGTGGGATGAGGGTGTTGCAAAGCAGCATCACACTTCACCCACCACTAGTGGCAGAAGAAGTGGATGACGATTACTACGACTACCACTACAGAGATTACCCCGATTCATCGGAGCATTCCAGCGGTGACGAATTGCCTTACGGTTTTTTTTACAGTGCGTCTGGTTGTGATTCGTGGTACAATTATGACTAGTACAATGATGACCGCTCCTCTCCTTAACGCCATCATCCCTTCTCTCATCTGCGCTAAATTTGCACCCAGTTGTAGCTTCGATTTTGGGTGCTCTTTGCTTCTCTCAACCTGTATCTTTTGCAGATGCTCTGTTTCTACATATCTGTGATACCTAGAAGCATGTCTGAATATGAAAACAAGGCAAGAGATGGGTGTGGCGTTTGCCTCCTAGGATGGGACATAAGGAAAGGGTTAAATGAGTGTGATGTGTTTGGCCAGTGGGAATGCAAGGGGAGGAGTAAAAGTTAGAGTGGGAGGTTTTGAAAGTCAGTTGAGTTCTGGGAGTCGGAGAAGGAAGAGGGAGGAATAGGCAGTGGGTTGGTTGAATTGTATTGTGAGAGAGTGAGAGGAATTGTTAGGTGGAGTCAGATAGTTGGAATAATCAGTTTGAAGTTGTTAGAAGCGTATAGGACAGCAAAGGAACTAAGATTAATAAACTGACAAGAAAAATTAACTGAAACCATACGCTTGTTCCTGCATTTAAAAATAAACTTGATTATTTGTTAACGTTAACAACTGTCTGGACTCCATGTGTCCCTGGGAGAAACGGGTGGCAGCAGCAAAGTAAGCAACCACAGTGGTGGCATATGGTCAGTAGACTGTCAGACGCCCAGGGGTCCTGTGTGATCGCCACAATGGGCTGGCTAGGAGGCTGGTGAAAACTGACTCTCTATTTTTTATTTTTTAAGTGAGATGGTTTTGGGATAGCAAGGGGTCCTCTTCTCCCACCCCCATTGGATAGGGCACATCGCAACGCTGGGTGGCAACCAGAACTTCTTTTCTGCAGATCATGGCATCAGTGACACTGGCAAAGATGGATCTAAAAAGAGACCCCCTGTCAGAGCTGCCCTAGGTCCCAGCTCACAAAGGACCAACGCCAGACCGTTGTTATATGAAACAGTCTTTATTTAAGTTCTGCTTCGCTTTTACATCCTTGGCGCGCAGCTCTACGTCTCAAACTCTAGACCGCCGAAGCTCCGTCTGAATCTCCTCCCCCCAGACACCAGTTTAAGACTCTAGCCTTGCTCCACCTCTTCCTTTGCTCTTTCCTCCTCTGGGTCCTCTTGCCCGCCGAGGACTCGCCCTTCCTAGACTCTTCAGACGCTGAGTCTCCTGAGTCCTCCCCCAGCCTCCGGCGGGCTTTAGGACCTGGTTCCCAATCCGGGCTGTCAGCTGTCCCGCGCGCCTGTACATTTGAACTTGGCGCGCGCGCGCAGCCTGACACCTTCCTCCTCACCATTACACTGCTCCTGTCGCTGCTCCCCTCCTCGGGGACGCTAGCTGGGCCTGACTCCTCCTCCCTGCTTGCCGGAGGAGACGCTGACTCTGACCTATGGTGTTCTTCCCCCCCACTGCGCTCCGGTGGGGAACCTGGCCCTGATTTCCAGCTACTGCTTTGGGAATCTCCACTGGCCCCTTGCTCCTGGTGTGTCCCCCCTGGGACCCCCCTTGCCCTGGCCATCGGCGCCCCCTTTTGGGAATCTTCTGATTCACTGGAGAGACTTATGGAATCTCTCGAGTCACTGTCATTCTGTCCTCCGCTACCCTCAGATTCCTCCCCCCCTCTCCATCTCCTCTCTCCCCTGTGGCTCAGTCTCTGAGCCCCTGACACCCCCTATTTTAACCCTGTGTGTTGAACCAAAGGTGAACAGTTCCGTAAACACTGCTAATGCCATCTTAATTGGGAAACCCTAGCCTGCGAGCGCTCCACTTGGAAATCAGCCTTTACGAAAAGTGTCATGGGCTTTGAAGACACTCGAAGGCGAAATGTGACCTGGATTCAGGAACTAATTAACCATCAAAAAAGAATGGCCAGGCTGCCCGGGTAATCCAGTCAGTGACCATTAATAGGTTTCCTGCAAGACAGGATTCTGCTGTATCCCCTTCTGTGATGTATGTATGATGTATTGCAGGGTGGCCTTAAGCTTACAGGGTGGGCAATTTCAAAAAGTCTATATAAGGGTTTGCACACCATTGTTCTGGGTTCCTCCTCCCTCCTGCATGTGGTGACTGGGGACCTTGTTGCAACAGTTGGATAAAGATCAGGCTTACTAGCTGCTTTGCTTCTCAATATTCTCTGATTGGCCTCTGTTATTTTCTCCTACCGGTAGGGAACCCACTTAAGGATTCTATACGGGCTCTTGGATACCCTAGAAGGGAAAAAGGGCAGATTTTGTTTACAACACCAGCACTGCGATGTTAAGTGTGAGATAGATGGGGGACAGAAGCCCCAGTACAATGCATGAACAATGAAAAGGACTTAGTTTGTTGGGCTGAAGTTCTTTAAGTTGCAGTTCTTAGCTGGGGGTGGGGTGGATACTGGGTTTTTATTTTATTTTTTAAAAGCCTCCACATTTGAAGCCTCTGTTATAAGAATTTTAAGGCCTCAGATATAGAATAAATGTATGTATGGAAGTGAGAGCTGGACCATAAAGAAGGCTGATCACTGAAGAATTGATGCTTTTGAATTATGGTGCTGGAGGAGACTCTTGAGAGTCCCATGGACTGCAAGAAGATCAAACACATCCATTCTTAAGGAAATCAGCCCTGAGTGCTCACTGGAAGGACAGATCCTGAAGCTGAGGCTCCAATACTTTAGCCACCTCATGAGAAGAGAAGACTCCCTGGAAAAGACCCTGATGTTGGTGTGATAAGAATTTTAAGGTCTTGGATATATCTTAAATGTTCATAAATGTACCAACCAAGCACCTACCGTATTTTTCGCTCTATAACACGCAGATTTTTTCTCCTAAAAAGGAAGGGGAAATGTCTGTGCGTGTTATGCAGCGAATGTGTGGTCCCTGGAGCCGAAAAATGAGGCAAAAATCAAACCGCGCTTCAGGGAGAAGGGAGCTCCGTGAGAGAGGAAGCTGTTGCTTTCCTGCATTCTGCCTCAGGGTCTTACTGCCCACCCTGCTCTGTTTCGTTGCTGTGTTTGCTCAAACGGAACAAAGAGCAGGGAAAGCCCCTCCCCTCCAGGCAAGAAGAGAGGAGAGCAGAGCGTCTTTCTAATTCCTCTCCCTGCTCCGGAGGGAACAATGTTTGTGAAGGGAAGAGAGATTACAGGTTCGGCTTAAAATTCTGATTTGACTTCCTGCTTTTTGTTTTTGGAGACACACAGCATTCAAATATGCTTTCTTCCATTTAAAAGGATGAAATCCTTAAACAGTGTTTTGCCTGTAAATTCATGCGATCTGGAAGATTACAGTGTCTGTACCTCTTAAGGGATGGCAAAGCTTAGGTTTCGCTGCTAAATAGTTCTTAATGCAGTTAAAATGCTTTCTTCTGTCATGCTGGTGGGAGGGAGAGGGAGAGGGAGAGAGAGAGAGAGAGAGAGAGAGCGCACGCTGGCTGGCTTGTGTGGGTGGGTGGGGGGAAACTTTTGCCTTCCTTTCCTCACGTTATAGCCCTCTCCTGCATTCTTAGCCTTCTGTGTTTTTCCTTCCCTCCCACTTAAAATGTGGTTAAAAAGTATGGGTCCACATGGATCCTCAGGATCTTTGCATTGGGTCACCCCAAATTCACCATCAGAGCACACAGCATGTCCATGGCTACAGCCTGCCCCCCCAAAATCACACACCCATTGTTGCCTGGGGCTGCAATGGTGCAAAAACGTGGTTACAAAGCATGGATCCACATGGATCCTCAGGATCTTTGCATTGGGTCAGCCAAAATTCACCATCAGAGCACATAGCATGTCCATGGCTACAGCCTGTCCCCCCCCAAAAAAATCACGCACCCACTGTTGCCTGGGGCTGCAATGGTGCAAAAACGTGGTTACAAAGCATGGATCCACAGGGATTCTCAGGATTTTTGCATTGGGTCACCCCAAATTCACCATCAGATCACATGTCTGTGGCCACAGCATGAAGCACAAAAATGATACGTCCACTGTTTCATTCAGAATATTTTTTCCCTTGTTTTCCTCCTCTAAAAACGATGTGCGTGTTATGGTCAGGTGCGTGTTATAGAGCGAAAAATACGGTACATAGATCAGCACAGGAAACCCAACCTGAAACCATTTTTGATTCCCAAACTGACCAAATGTTTTCTCTGCTCTGCAAGGTCAAAGGAAAATGGAAAAGCCTCCCCATTGTCTTTTCCTTCACAAATCCTGTCTTAAGGGTATGTCTGTCTGTGTTTGAATAGGGTGAGCCTGTGACCTGGCTCAGGAACTAAGTACAGTGGTACCTCGGGTTAAGTACTTAATTCGTTCTGGAGGTCCGTTCTTAACCTGAAACTGTTCTTAACCTGAAGCACTACTTTAGCTAATGGGGCCTTCTGCTGCTGCCGCACCGCCGGAGCACGATTTCTGTCCTCATCCTGAAGCAAAGTTCTTAACCTGAGGTACTATTTCTGGGTTAGTGGAGTCTGTAACATGAAGCGTCTGTAACCTGAGGTGCCACTGTATATGTGTTTGCCTTGTACAGTTATGAATATATATATGACCTTAAAATTCTTATAATATAGGAAGATATACAGTGACTTCTGGTGCCCATAGAGAGTGATATGGTGACAGGCACAGAGGTCAGCAGTAGGTGGCACCAGAAGCGGCCATAGGCAGAGTTGACCGATTGCAGTTTTGTTCCCATCATCCTCCCTGATGAGATTTACTAGGAGAAACATCTAGACCAAGGAGGAGGAAGGCGACAGATAACTCCACCCCCCTGGCCCACTTAACAGCTAGAAAGCGGGCACACTGAGAGGTTGGGGGTGCCCCACTTCCCCTCATTGACCACCCACCGCTGCTTGTTTGTATGTACTCCCTTTCTCAGGCACCTGCTGTCTCCCCCCACCCCATCATAAAAAAACCCCGTCCCTGTTTCCACCTCCCTTGCTCTCCCTCCAACACCTTCCTTCTGGGCTGCCTCCGCCTCCTTTCCTTTCATGTTTAGGTGATAAGGTAAAGGGACCCCTGACCATTAGGTCCAGTCGTGGCTGACTCTGGGGTTGCGGCGCTCATCTCGCTTTATTGGCCGAGGGAGCCGGCATACAGCTTCCGGGGCATGTGGCCAGCATGACTAAGCCACTTCTGGCGAACCAGAGCAGCGCACGGAAATGCCGTTTACCTTCCCGCCGGAGCGGTACCTGTTTATCTACTTGCACTGGGGTGCTTTCGAACTGCTAGGTTGGCAGGAGCAGGGACCGAGCAACGGGAGCTCATCCCGTTGCGGGGATTCAAACCGCCGACCTTCTGATTGGCAAGTCGTAGGCTCTGTGGTTTAACCCACAGCGC